CTCTAAGTAAGGCCAATACGACATTGTCATCATTTTGTTAGGACAAAGCTTAAGGCTATTCTGGAGCATATGTTTTCCAACTATGGGTTTTGGAGAAATACAAGAGAATCAGAAACAACCTTCAGAAATAAAGGACTCATTTCAGAACCAGGAAGTAAATGGTGTGGAGCAACTTTCAGAACTGAAGGGACAACTCAACAGCAGGTCAATGCACCTTGGGACAACTGGCCATGGCTCAGTCATTTGAGCCACATTTGAATTTTGTTATAGTATTATCTTTGAGATAATATATGTGAGTAGATTTATATTTGTATGTTTCTGCGTGTGCTTAAATCTTGTTTGTGTAAGGAGTGCACTGCAGTGAATTACTGAATTATACATTCAGGATGAATACACACATGAACATAACATGTGGATACTGAAAATTAAAATGGAATGAAAGAAGCAATTTTCTTTATTTGGAGGTACTGTCCATGTGTCTGTACTGATGACATGTTGTTTGGTTGTTAAGTGTCATCGAGTTGGTTCTGATCCATAGAGACCCAATATAGGGTTTCTGAGGAGCAGCTGGTGGATTTGAACCACATACCTTGCAGTTCAAACTGCTTTTACAGTCTGACACATTAGCCCACAGTGCCATACCAGGACTCCTCCTATGATATAGTAGGCACAAAATATTTGCTTTAGAATGAATTTTGAATATATGGATGGGTGGATGCAGTGAGCATGAATTAATAAAGTGAAAACGTCAATGAAAAGAGGCAAGTTAAATTTGTCCACCAGGAAATTTCCCTTGGATTTAAATAAGAACAACTCTTTCAGCATGGTAAGAATTGGAGCTAAAAATAAAACTACTTCATATGAGCTTTATAGCATTCCAGCCTCGCATAAATGATTGGAGAATATTGATATATTTGGGTTATTTCTGTCTCATACGACAAAGGGATTAACATACTAAGTAATCAAACATATGGCACCCTTCCCACAGTGCAACTTAGACTAGCAATTAGGACAAGTGTAAAGACTAGTAACTTACTAAACATACAAGATGAAGTTCTACAGATTTAGCAAGCATGGAGAAGCACCAAAGAGGCAGACATAATAATGTTGACAGAGGCTCACCAAAGTCAGCTTTATAAGAATTCTGAGCATCCAAAGAACAGTTCTCCCTTACCAAAATAAAGTGAGATGGAATATTTTTATTTGCATCACACCATGAGCATTTGGGCTAAATGAGTTTTTAGATGACACTTCTTAATAGTGTGAACTTTGTCAATTTTCTTAATTTCTCTGTTTTCTCAGAACTTGTTAATGCATAAATAATAGTGTCTCCCACCTGAGTTAGCATGAAATTATAATGGAATGGGGTATATAAAAGAACTTGATCTAACTTAGTAGAGTATACCTTAATTTAATGTGAGTTTCTACTTTCCTAAATTTCTCAGTGTGAATGTGAGAGGCAAGGTTTGGAGGGCTGTCCACATTCAATTTACTTTAATCAATGATTGGTGGTGGTTATGCACCGTGGAGTGGGTTCTGACTCACAGCAACCCAATACAGGGTTCCTGAGGCTGTAAATCTTTATAGGAGCAGAAAGCCTCATCTTTCTCCCACAGAACAGCTAGTAGTTTCGAACTGCTGACCTTGAGGTTAGCAGTCTGATTTGCAACCACTACGCTACCAGAGTTCTTTGTAAACTGCTATTATTATACCAGTTTCTCATTGCTCAAACCATACTCTATTACCCTGATGCTTTCCCCCATTTTTACTGGTACTGCTGTGGCGCTGTAGGGTAATGCACTGGACCACAAAGTTGGCTGTAACTTCAAACCCACCAGCTGTTCCTCAGCAAGTCTATACAGGGTCTTTATGAATTGGAACTGACTTAACTGCAATTAGCAATGACAAAAATTGTTCTATACCCACAGCATAGACACCACATAAGAAAGGACTAAATATTTTCTCCCAAACTCCTCCCATGATCAAACCCACCCAGCACTTACCCGAAACTGTCCAATCTCAATGAACTGACTTTCTGTGAAAACTTCTAGGATAGTTGTTAAGTGCTGGGCTTCCCTGTAGGTGCATGGATATTATCCTATCACAGACAGCATTGTACCTCATGACTGATCTGGATATGTTCTTTTTGACAATGAATGCAACACCATTCCTCTTCAATTTGTCGTTTCTGGCATAGTAAACCATTTGGTCGCCAGAGTCAAAAAGGCCAATACCAGTCCATTTCAGCTCACTAATGCCTAAGATAACGATGTTTATGTATTCCATTTCATTTTTGACAACTTTCAATTTTCCCAGATTCATACTTTGTACATTCCATGTTCCGATTTTCAATGGATATTTACAGCTGTTTCTCGTCATTTTGAGTTGTGCCCCATCAGCAAATGAAGGTCCCGCGGGCTTTTCTCCCATGGGCTTTACTCCATTCGTGTCATCACGGTCAACTCTACTTTGAGGAGTCAGCTCTTCCCCAGTCGCATTTTGAGTGCCTTCCAACCTGAGTGGCTTATTTTCCAGCACTATATCTGACAGTGTTTTTCTGCTATTCATAACGTTTTCAGTGACTCAATTTCGGAAGTAGTTCATCACTCCTTCCTTCCTAGTCTGTCTTTGTCTGGATGCTCACCTGAAACCTGTTCACCATGGGTGACCCTGCAGGTATTTAAAATACTGGTGGCATAGCTTTCAGAATCACAGCAACTCACAAGCCACCACAGTATGACAAACTGACAGATGAGTGGTGCTATGAGAAATGTATAGCACTGACCAATTACATATTTTACTTATTTTGTATCTTGTGTCTCCTGTACATCAAGGATATAAATTCCATGAAGGCATGAATGTTGTGTGTTTTCACTGCCATGACCCCATTTCCCTAGTTTCTTAACTACATATATAAACAGATATCCGAATACAAAAAATTTTCATACCATAGTATACTAATGTTTTATGTTTATGTGGCATCTTTCTTTCCTCAACAGTAAATTTCTTGAGGCCAGAAGCTATGTTTTTGGACAAATTTATGCCTTGGATTTTCACATAGTGCCTCTTGCATAGTTCTCAATACATTTTAGTGTATTAAATTGCATTTTAAACTTACATTTATTCAGTAAAATAATAACCTTTAAATATATTCAGATTGATAAACTTTGTTAATGCTTTGATTCTACATCTTTATTTTGGGATCTTGAGCAAGTTACATAACTTCCTTGAGTTAGTATGCCCAAGAGTAAAATTAGAGAAAATATTTTTCTTACTTGAAAAATTTTTATGAATAATAAATGCAACAATTTAGAAAGTGTTTAGCACAGAGTCTGCCATATAGAACTCATTGATATATGTTTTTTTTTTTTATCATTGTGATGATTATGAAGAATACTCAAAAATATATTGAATAACAGCAGAATCAGTACAAGCTTACCTCAAGAAAATAATGTTCACAAAATGTTTAGGAAATCCTCCTAAGTATAAGGACTAATCAGAGAAGAAACCCCTTCTAGAATGTGACGTTTCAGCAGCTCATGCTTTCAAAGACGCCTGGTGCTCTAGGATCAGCACTGGACTGGGAACCACTAGTCAGCAGTTCAAACCAAGCAGCTGTTCCTTGAAAACACTATATAGGATTGTCATGAGTCACAACAGACTGGATGGCCCTTAACATAACATAACCCTTGGCACAGTCAGGGAAGACTTTGAAGCCACACAGACATAATGAAATCAGGCAGTTCTTTGATCTCCTTTTGCTGGAAAATTTTAGAGGACCAGTGGAGTTTCTTGTCTATCCACATGCCAATCAAGCAGTCAGACATAAACAGGAGATATGTCTATGACATGTGGACTGTCAAATATATCCAGATTAAAAATCCAGAACTCCGTTTCAACTAAATGATACTTTTTTAGGTAAATATGGCTGCTTCCCTCTAATTCTCTGTCCTCCTTCCCACTTTGAGTTATTAGAAATTTTGACCAGATAGATTCATTCATTTGCATTTAGATTGTGAGTTCTATACATTCCAGATCATGTCTATCTCTTTCACTGTTGGGTTCAGTATTCCAGATATAGTTCAGAGTCTGGCCAATAGTATTGCCTCCATAAATAGCTATGGCATATGTTATTTAATCCACTAAGTGATAATTCGTTTCAGATTCAATTTTTAGGACACTTTTAGTATTATCAAGTACTACTATTGTTGACCCCATCCAGTCTGCTCCCAATTTATGAGGATCCCATTTACAAAGGACTGCTATAATTCAGAGCTTTCATTGGCTGCTTTTTCAGAAATAGGTTGCCATTTTGATTTAGTAGCTCAACTAAAACATGTTTATCGTCATAGCAACACATAAATATCCAGTGAGAGGTGGGTAGTAACTGTGTTTGAAGTTCATTGGCTCAGAGCTGAACCCAGGTGTCCTACATAGAAGGTAAGCCTTCTCCAAGTGAACCATCACTCCCAGAGAAGTGCAGTATTCCAAATCCCACAACATGGTAATATGCGTGACAGAAGGGTAACATAGTAATATCCCTGTCAGATTGGTAGCTATCCTGTCCACGATCAAGTCTGCTAGTTTTGTATCCTCAAAATAGAGCAATAGGGACCTAGAACTCAGGAATAGCTATTTCTCCTCTGTGAAAAATGAAATAATGGTTGGAGAATTGGTGTACTTTCCTATGTAATCTGCCTAATGCATGAATTCTATGACGGATTGCTAAATTACTAGTAAGAGCAAAGCAAATAGCTAATGCTTCACAATGCAGATTTACTTTATCCTACAGTTAGCGTTAGGCTGCTAACTGCAAGGTCTCTGGTTCAAACCCACCAGCAGTTCCTTTGCAATATTACAGAGGATCACTATGAGTTGGAAATGACTCGACCACACTTAACAACAACAGCAGCACACTTTCTGTGAGAATCAGCATGAAAATCTTGCAAATAGAAGATTGCAGTAGTCTTATTTAAAATTAGGATTAGGGTCATATTTACCTGAACAGAAGTCATCAGAGTATCTGTCATACACAGCTCTACAGTCTCTTTCATCACATTCACAGGTATCTCCATGAATATCTCCCCAGTCTCCAGTAGGATCAACATCGTGGCAAGAGCATTCTCCACACACACAAGTCCCTAGGTGGGAAAAAGTAGTTTACATGAGTCTCGTTAAGAAAAACCTCATAGAAGAAAACAAATTAAATATTGTCTTGGTTTCTTCTGTTGCATACTTTGTTTCTGGAAAATATACATATTCAAATAAAAAACATTCTATAAAGGAAAACTACCATCTAAAGTTGATGGCAGAGATTTGTGAATGAATAAACAGTTGTTATTATCTATGTCTTTAATTATGTGAAGCTGTGAGATGTGTCAATTAATATAAGACACAATCTTTGCCTAGAAAAAAGCTCACAATCTATTTGAGGAAAACAAAGCCAGTGAAGGAAAATAGCAAAACAATTTTTAAGAAGTACTCTGGTAGCGTAGTGGTTACGAATTGGGCTGCGAACCTCATGGTCAGCAGTTCTAAACTACCAGCTATTCCGTGGGAGAAAGATGAGGCTTTCTGCTCCCGTAAAGATTTACAGCCTTGGAAACCCTGTACAGGGTCGCTATGAGTCGGAACCAACTCCACGGCACATAACAACCACAACAATAACTATTTGTAAAGTAGGGTATATACAATGGTTTGGGGAAAGGAAGCTAAATGTGGGCTAGAGTATTAAGGGGCAGACTGTAGGGATATGCAGAGAGATGTGAAACTATTCTAGGACAGGGTAGAACTACAATGAAAATCAAAAAAGCAAGAATAACAAGGTTGGAGAGGGAGAGGCATGGGGGATCCTGAGGAGTCCTTTATTGGAACAGAAGATTAAGGAAGATTACAAGTAAAGTCTGCTAGATCAGATGAGTCCACATTACAGAAGGTTTTGGAAAACAGGCTGAGAGAGATAATCTTGATCAATTGGAGATGTGATTAGACAAAAGACCAGTTATAAATCATTTTTGCCCTGTGTGGATTATGAATAATTATCTTTAAGAGAACAAATTAATTATTTAGTGAAAAATATAAAGTTAAATCTCTTTCTCACATCTTATGCCAAAATAAATTTCAGTTAGATAAAGATTCAAATGCATAAAATAAATCTATAAAATAAAAGAGATATGTCTTTTTTCCATTCAAAACAAACATGTAGAATTACTAAAGGAAGATAAGTCAATTTAATTATGTAAATATTTAAATGTATGCTTGGGAGGAGAATGTCATAAACAAACAAATAATTCATATGTATTTAAAAGACAAAGAGCCAAAAGAGGAGTAGATAAAAGCTAAACACCACCAATAGGAAATTTTGTAGAGGAACAATGATGGCAAACAACCAAGAAAACTTGGACCACTGAACCAATGAGGCCAGTATGAGTGAGGAGTAGGGGAGAATCATGAAGACACAATAATGAGTTGGGATGATAGATGGAGAGAGGTGAAGAGAATGCTAGCATCCAGAATGTGTGAGGGTGGGAGGAATGGAGATTCTCCGGCACTGTTAGTAGGAGATAAACTGGTACACCTGGCAATTTCACAATCTGGACTTTAAAAAAATCGATTTATCAATTGTCACACAAGCCACTTCAACAAATTAATTCAAATGAAAGAAAAAGCCCACATATATACATGTTCAGAAATTTTAACGTGGGGGAATTTATGTCACCAAAACTTTAAAAGAAATCTAATTATTGATCAATAAGGAATTATTACAGTAATGGTATATGTATGATATGAACTTTTTTGCTTTCTGAACAAGGAAAGATACTCAAATTATATTATTAAATGGAAATAAAATTACTAACCACTATGTATGCTATGATATAAATTCTGTATGAATAAAGAAAAACATGTGTCTGCCCAGGCAAATTTAAAAAAGAAAAAAAAAAATAGACTGAAAATTCATGTACAAAATATAATCGGTCTGGAAATTAACATTAAAAGCCATTGACTTTTTAAATATACCTTATTTTGTAATCTGGACTCAAAAATAGACATTATTGCTTTCATAATAGTATCAAAAAGGGGGAGGGGGGAATGTTACAGTCATGTTTTGATGAAATTTTAAAGCATGTGTGGAATGGGTCCAATGTGAATCTGAGAATGAATCATATGGTCAACAGAGGAAATTCATCATCAAGTAGATCTTTCCAACACTGAATACGGGCTAGAAAATGAAGGCAAGGTATACATATGGACTCTTGTATTTAAGGAAGCAATGACAGGGAAGAGGAGTCCTTGAAAAGACACGTGGTATACCTTGCGGGGGAGGAAAAATATCAATTTGAAGCTCTTCCCTGACCAGACTTCATGTAGTCCTCAATCTCACTAGCTATAAGCATCATCAGGAAATCAGCAAAGGTATGCATCATGGCTGTAGCCTTACTAATTCAATCTGTGTAACTATATGCTGAGCAAGTAATCCAAGAAGCTGGAATATATGAAGAAGAATGTGGCATTAGTATTAAAGGAAGATATACTAACCTGCAATATGTATATGACACAACTTTGCATGCTGGAAGTGAAGAGGACTTGAAATACTTACTGATGAAGATCTAACACTATATTCTTCAGTATGGACTGCATTTCAATGTAAAGAAAACAAAGATCCTCACAACTGGACCAATAAATAAGATCATGATAAACAGAGTCCTGGTGTGGCAGGTCAGTTTAGACCACAAGGTGGGAGGTTCAAAACCACCAGCCATTCTTAAAAAATCTTGTACAAGGTTGCCATGAGTCAGAACTGACTAGACAGAACTTAACAACAACAAATAAAGAAAAGATTAAAGTTGTCATATACTTCATTTTGCTTGAATCCACAGTCAATGCTCATGAAAAATCCATCAAGAAAACAAATGAATCAATCACAAAATTGCAAATGCTGTTGTAGAGACCACTATTGTAAAAGCTCAAGAAAAGGTTTTAATGCTAAACACAACATTCTTTAATGGTGAATAAGCACTGGACTCTGAATCATAAGGGTGGTAGTTCAAACCCACTAGCCACTCCTTGGAAATTCCATCCAGGGTCTTTTTGAGTTGGAATCAACTCGATGGCACTTAGCAATAACAACAAGCAATAATAGTAGGAAAGGGAGAGTAATTCATTGACAAGAGGTTAGACGCATGTTAACCTGGGTGATGAGGGCAATGTACAAGAAGAGGGAGGTTAGCAGACAAATGATGACAGGTGAAGACACAGGGAGGTACATAAGGGGTAAAGAACATAAACATAAATGGTGTTGTACATACAACATTGGAACGACAGTGTTTTGTTGGTTGATACATGGACAGATACAAAGGCTGAACGGTTATGGAAGGGAGAGTGGGAGTACACCCACTGATATATACAAGAGTTGGAAAGAGAACATTTGTACGTGGGTATTTACCTTTACTGCAAATTCACCAATAAATGTGGTGGAGCATAAAGGGGCAAAATAATGAAAATTTCTTAGACATTATCAAATATCTTCAGGCAATGAGTTAGTGGGCCCAGGGGATCAGGATCTTAACCTCAGGGAGAACCAATTGGAATAACATAGTCCACAAAGACAATGTTCTACATCCTGCTTTGGTGACTAATGTCTGGAATCTTGAAGGCTTATGAGCAGCCATCTGAGGTATAATTAATGGTCTCTCCATGTGCAGAAGAAAGAAGAATGATGAGAATGGAAGGTGCTTGGAATGAATGGACGAACAGAATATGTGAACATGAGTTTCCATGAGTCTGAAACTAGAGAAACTAGATGGTGCCTGAAAACTACCATTACCAACTGCTATGAAAGGGATCACCTTAAAAGGTCCTAGATACAGTGGGGCAAAATGTGGAACAAAACTCAAATGACTAGGCTTACTGGTCAGAAAGAGACTGGAGAAACCTGACACTGTATCCCCTTGACCACTCTTCAGGTTTGGAAAGGAATTCACCATCATGGCCTATTTTTCAGCCAAGCTGTAGATAGGTAGATAGGAGTGTCAACCCTAGTACAGTATGCTACACAAATCATTCCACATCCAAAGCGCAGCATTTACCTAAGGATAAAGTTGACAAGGGGAGTGGAATGGAAGTAGGAAACAAAGGGAGAAGTGGGCCAACAGTTGTGGCGTGCAGTGGACTGCAGTCATTAAGATGAAGCAAAGTACTTGACTTTGTCGAATGCAAAACTGATGATCTTTTCTATAAACCTTCACTCAATTAACAATAAAACGTTTTTTAAAAAAGTAAAAGGAAATTTGCATTAGGTAAGCCTGATGCAAGAGCAAGGATGTGACTTTGAGGACTAAGGTGCAACCGGCTTAAGGCATGGTCATTTCAATGGCCTCAGATGAAAGACTGGAGACGGATTGATGCATTTGAATTATGGTGTTAAGGAAGAATATTGAAAGCACCACAGACTTTCTGTCTTGGAAGAAGTCCAGTTAGAATGCTCCTTAGAGGCCAGGAAGGTGAGACTTCATCTCTTGTACTTTGGACATGTTATCAGACAAATGCATCCTTGGAGAAGGACATCATACTTGCTAAAGTAGAGGGTCAGTGAAAAAGAAGACCCTCAACAAGACGGACTGACACAATAAGAGCAGTAAGAGGCTGAAGCATAGCAACACTGTGATGATGGCACTGATCAGGCAGTGTTTTGTTCTGTTGTGTATAAGGACACTAAGAATCAGAACCAACTCAACTGGCACTCAACAACAGTAAACCAGGAACCTCAGTTAGACATGCTGCTTCCCACCTACCTTGGCCAGACCTCCAGCAACCAAGAAAGGGCAGGGGGCAAGAAACTACACTGCTATGGCTGCTGGTGTCGTTAAGTGCCATTCAAGTCATTTCTTACTCATAGCGACCCAAGGAGCTTACGTATAGTGGTTCCAAGGAGCTGTTGATGTGTTTGAATCCCCAACTTTTTGGTTAGCAGGTCAATGTTGATCCTGTAGCCCACATTAGTGTTGGTTATGTGCTGTGGAGTCGGTTCTGATGCAAAGCGACCCTCTACAGGGTTTCCGAGACTGTAAATCTTTACGGGAACAGAAAGCCATATCTTTCTCCCGCAGAACAGCTGGTAGTTTCAACTGCTGACCTTGTGGTTCACAGCCTGATACATAACCACTATACTACCAGAGCTCCCTTGTAGCACACATTAGGACTCCAGATTACTGATAGTTAGGAAGTAAATCATGTGTTTTTCTGAAGGGTGTTAACTCTCTCTCTCTCTCTCTCAAAGCCTGCATCTCTTTGCTACAGAACCAACCCACTTTTCTCTTTCTCTTTTCAATAGCATCTAAATGATTATCTTATACAATAATACAGTGCAAACTTCATATACTGACATCATAATGGCTACTTTGTTCACGTTAAATAAAAAGAGAATATGTAGAAAGTGTGTCCTTTGTAGTTCAGAGCATTAATCCACAGCGCCACACCAGGACGCTGACCTTATATAGTATGTTAAATTAAAATGAAGTGTTATAACATACAGTTAGATCTTTTCTGCATAAATTAAAGAAGTCTTCCTTTTTTCTTTTTCCCAAGTTGAGGCCTTTTGCTTTCCCTTCTATTGAGTCATAAATGTGGCAGAGTTTACTCTTATGTTGTTCTTAAGTGCCGTCGAGTCAGTTCCGACTTATAACAACTCTTTATAGGGTTTCCAAGGAGCAGCTGCTGAGCTTGAACTGATGACCTTGCAATTCATATCAACCTTGCAGTCTAGTACATTACCCCACAGTGCCACACCAGTTAACATAAGTAAATTAACATAGGCTAATTAAAACAAATAATAAGTTAATTTGAAAAATAAAAAGAACCGTATGGGAGTCCTTTCTACCTGAATATTTTTATAGATACAAAATGGTTCTAAAATTTAAAAGTTTATTTAAATATGAAAAAAGGTTAAAAAAAGGATAATCAAAATTTGCTATGAACTTTCTGAAGTTCCTTGTATATCCCCACTTGGACTGTTAACCACAAGGTCAGCAACTCAAACCCACCACCCACTTCTCAGAAACCCTATACAGAGTCGCTGTGAGTTGGAACCGACTCAACACATAACAAAAAGTGTTTAGGACAAAAGACTATATTTTCCTTATCTTTCCTCTAACCCTAATAACCCCTTAGAAATTGCTTATTAATTAAATAAGGAATTGTATTTTCAATGAAATAAACAAAACAAATGAACAGCTTGTGTGTTAAGACTCTCCATGGTGCTGTCAGATAGGCATTAGACCACAAAGTGGGCAGTTCAAAGCCACCAACCACTCCCTGGAAACCCATACAGAGGGCCACTATGAGTCACAACTGACTTGACAGCACTCAGCAAAAACAACAACAATATGCATGTTGTTATGCTATGTTTAGTGTTATCAAGTTGGTTCTGACCCATAGCTACCCTGTATAGATAGGGTTTCTGAGGAGCAGCTGGTGAGTCTGAACCACTGATTATGTTGTTAAAACATCTGTACAGTGCAGAGCATTAATCCACAGTGCCACACGACTCCCATGCATATTATCTATTAAAATGTGTTATTCATTGATGTTGTTGGCTATGTGGCTGAATCAATTCTGACTCATTTCCAGCAACCTAGATTTTTACAATTTTATAGAAGGGTATATATCCACTTACATATGCCATCAGGTAGGCAAAGGAATAACCAGCATATAGAAAGGAACATTGATAACTTTTTTCAGGAAATTTTTGTTAACATGTATGAAGCCGTGTTACTTGATATAAACAGTGAACTTGCTTTAAATCATACTGAGTGATGCTACTGTATTTTTTAAACTCATGTCTTAGGTCAGTCTAAATTTCATGGGGCTTTGTTTCGCCTTTTTGGGGAATGAAAATATTGAATTTGATCCATACTTTTTGTTTAATTATGTTCGATATCATATTTTTATCATTGCATTTAGCAGTTAAATGAGTTTACATCAATTCTATGCTTCAGCCACGCCTTCAACTTACCCATAATTAAGACAAGAAAGTTTTCTGAATGCTCTCTGGATAATTAGATGCTCATTCTGTACACGGTTCTGTTAGTCAAGAGACATTTACCAGAAGGATCTACATGAATTGCCTTTTAGCTGCACTGTGTTATTTCTGGATGGCTGCCAAAGAAATTACAGTCCCTATGTTAACTATTTGTTCAGTGAGGCTAAAAGAAGGACAGCAACTTTCTTATCTTTGTGCCTCTTTATCAATAACAAAGCAAGAAAGAGAAGGCTGCATAGTAAATGTTGATTTATATCAAAGTAAATGACTTTCAAAGATGACTTCCTCTCACAGGAAAGGAAACGCAGTGCCAGAGAGAAAAGGAATGTTAACAATTAAGAGCTTTGTTTTCACCCCAATTACGTAGTAACATGTATGATGTATGCAGGACACACCTCGGTTGCTGCAGATTTTGCCATCTGGAGATGTGCATCTTCGCTTGCTCTCCCAGGGGGTGATGTCGCACTGGAATTCGCATTTATCTCCATGCCAACCAGCCTCACAGTAACAGTTTCCACAGTAACACTTTCCATGGCCTTTACCCAAAATGAAATTTATACAGAGAGAGAAAAATAAAAGCAACTTTTAAAGGCAGAATTCACTTTCTACTGTTATTTTTTTTGAACAATTTTACGCTTTGAAATAACATAACTTCCACATTTCTTGCTTAAAAGAATAAAAGCATCTAGTTTGCCCTCAAACACCACAGTGGTGAATACACTAACCTAATCATACAACAAAGTATCCTTTAACTTATCCTAGCCAGATAATCAGAGTATTTACAAACATATGACATGAAATCGGTGGCATGTCAAATGTGTGCCGCAAACTCAAACGTAAGTAAGCATTCATTCTAAGAATGTTTCTTGACTAAGTCAGTAAAAACATTTCATTCAAAATCAACTATTAATAAAACAATGCTGCATGTTTACTTGGGTACAGAATATTAATGACCAAATCAATTTTTAAACCAAAGGAAATATTTCATAATTTCACTCAACTGTGTCCCACAAGCTGTTGTCTTCTGCTACATGGAAAACAGATTTTCAGCAAATGAATGTTTACTACTCATTTGTGGTTAAGTGCAGTTGAGTCAATTTTGACTCATACCAACCCTGTATAGGCTTTACAAGGAGGGGATAGTAAGTTTGAACTACCGACTTTGCAGTTCAAACAACTTTTCAGTCCAGTGCTTATCCTACAGTGCCATACCAGTACTTCATTGTGATAAAATATAATGGCCCCTTGATTTCACAATCAAACTTCCATCCGAATTATTCTTGTTAAGTGCCCTCACCTTGGTTTTGACTCATAGCAACCCTGTATAGGGTTTCCAAGGAGTGGTTTGTGTGTTTGAACCGTCGACCTAGCAGTTCAAACTGACTTGTGGTCCTGTGCTTTTTCCAACACCACTCCTAATTGTTAATGGGATGCAAATAATGGGTTACATTTTCCTAGTCATTTGTGCCCATATACCATCACACCCTTTTGACTCCTCCTTCTATATAACCTATTAGTGGTTACGAATCGGGCTGCAAACCTCGGGGACAGCAGTTCAAACCTACCAGCTGTTCCGCAGTAGAAAGATGAGGCTTTTTGTCAAGATTTACAGCCTCAGAAACCCTGTACAGGATCACTGTGAGTCGGAACCGACTCCACAGCACAAAACAACCACACCAACATGTTCTTTTATGTCTGGATCCAAGTGATTCATAAAACTTGATATTGCTTCTAGAATCTATGTCTAGCAACCCTAGTATATATCCCCCCAAATATAACAATTGTATTTGACTCAAGGTTCAATTATTCTCCTTTCCCTTGTTTATAGCTATACCATGCAGGTATGGATGTATATATATCCATGTGTGTGTGTGTGTGTGTGTGTGTGTGTGTGTAAGTAAAACTAAGGTCATCTTGGCTTATGCATCTTTACCTATTCTTTGTGTTTTACAGGAGTCTATGGCTAAAGTTTTTGCTCTTCCCCTCTCTTCAATATACCTGGTTTCCTGTCTAAATAATCATAATATCCACAAAAAATCTTTCCTTATCTTTTGTAGACAATGACCATTTCTACAACAAGATTCAATGTTTAATAAATTCACTTAAGTAATTTAATCAACAACAAAAATATTATCATTTCTATATATTATCGGTTGATGTAACTTGCCATCAAGTCAGTTACAACTCATAGTGACCCCATCATGTGTGCAGAATAGAATGGCTTCTCAGGGTTTTCAAGACCATTTTAAAGCAGATCACCACGCCTGTTTTCCAAAGGTACTAGTGGAGTGCTTACCTGTTTATACTCTCCAGGGACTCCTAGACATGACTTACAAAGGTAAAAATAACCCTACATGCACTGACAACAAAATCACATGCCAGTGCTATACTATGGTTGGTTGGTTAGTTGGTTGGTTGGTTATGTGCACTCACAGTGACCCTGTGTAAGGTTTCTGAGGTTGTAAATCTTTATGGGAGCATAAAACCTCATCTTTCTCCTACAGAACAGCTGATAGTTTCAAACTGCTGACCTTGACATTAGTAGCCCTATTTGTAACCCACTACAATACCAGGGCTCCTTATACTTACAAGTAGATGTGGACAATTAAGACATATAGTCACATGACTTAATTCAAAATATTGTAACAGACATCTGGATAACTGAAATGAAATATACAATCTAGGGCAATCCACATTCCACAATAAACACCATTCTTTGCTTAGGGTAAATAAAGAAAACCCCTCTCTGTATTGCTTCATTGATGGACTACAAAAGAATCTCCCAATAGAGTTATTTCATGTTAATAACCAGTGCAAGGATGTACAATCCTAGACAATGTCATCCTCAGAAGATGCTCACTGGAGTGTTGGTACTCGCTGGGAGAATTTGCACCATTAAATTGCTTAAGCCATTAACAAATGGAAATAACAAGTGGAAAGATCTAGAGCTAAACATTTCTTGTTATGTTGTTCAAGTTAAATGTTTATAGACTTAACTTTGTTTGTATGCATCAGAATATATTTTCTGAAAAGCATTTCCATTCCTTCTTTTGACCTATAATAATTGTACAGTTGATCCTTAAACAATACAGGGCTTAGGGTGTCAACCGTGTGCACATAACTACTAATAGATTACTGTTGACCAGAGCCTTACTGACAAACAATTGATTTTGTTGTTATATTATTATGTACTGTAGCCTTACATTAAAATAAGCTAGAGAAAACAAAATGCTATTAAGAAAATCTAAAGAGAAATTCATTTTACAGTGCTGCTCTGTCCTCACTGATACCAGGAGTTTATAGCATCTGCTTACAAACAAATCACCTTCACATTGGTAGGCTGAGGGGGAGGGAAAAGAGAAGGGGTTGTCTTGCTATCTCAGGGGTGTTAAAGGCAGAAGACATAGACAAGATGTAAAGGGAGGAAGAACAGTGTCTTGCTATCTCACGGGGTGATAGAGGCAGGAGAGGCGGATAAGATGGAAGAGGAGGAAGAAGCAGGTACACTTGGTCTAACTATGAAAAAATACATAATTTCTGTCTGACTTCTATGCTTTTTATTTCTCTAAAAAATGTGTCTATATGTTTGTTGTTGTTATGTGCCGTGGAGTCGGTTCTGATTTATAGTGACCCTGTACAGGGTTCCCGAGGCTGTAAATCTTTACAGGAGCAGAAAGCCTCATCTTTCTCCCACAGAACAGATGGTAGTTTTGAACTGCTGCCCTTGGAGTTCACAGGCCAATTCGTAACCACTATGCTACCACAGCTCCTTGTGATACAAATCCTAATATTTGCTCTCCTATGAGACCAATCTGGTTTTGCATTTAAAAAGTACCAATAGCCTATGAATGTCCTACTCTAACTCTTATATGGAGTATTTTAAATATACATAGATGCAGATTAAATGACTATTCTCAGTGCAGAATTTTATGTACAGATAATAATAGTACATTGGAAAAGGTGAAAAAATGGGTGCTTTTATAAATTTATGAATAGTTAATATACATACCTCCACATATTTCTTCTGTTTCATCGTCTATACATTCTCTGTCATCACACTCACAAAATTTACCATAAACAAGTCCATTTCCATCAAAATTATCACATTTACATCTGCCACAGTGACACGTACCTAAAACCATTAAAACAAAAAAAAGAATGTTGGTTGATTATATGTATCTAAACTGAAGTATATTTTTAATCTCATCCTTTTCAAAACGGTTGTTGTTGTTTAGTGCCATTGAGTCAGTTCTGACCCATAGCAACCCTGTATAAGGTTTCTGAGGAGAAGCTGGTGGGCTTGAACCACCAACCTTGCAGTTCAAATGGCTTTACTGTCTCGTGCATTAACCCACAGCACCACACCAGGACTCCTTTCAAGATGGTAGACAATTCAAATAAATTAATTTAATGTTCCAATTATATATTTTTGTTGGTATGATAAAATAGGGAAAAAGTATTTCTTAGGATTATTGCAGTAAAATAATGACATTTTTATAGCACAACTGCTTTTATAAGTGACCTATAACAACTTCATGAATGCAAATACGGCCTCATAAGCACAGAGCTACTTTATATATACCTAGTCAATCAGTGCAGGATGGAATAGCTTCTGATTACACCTGGGGTCTGAGCTGAACAAAAACAAAAAAAGTCAAATTTTTGTGTAATGAAGTGTACTGGCTTATCTTCCTCAACAATATTTGTTAGATACTTTACACGCTATTTGAACATAATGTTTATATAATAACCATTTGTGGGATTCACTTATTAGCATATGCATAAATAAAAATGTAGATGCCCTGTGAGAATTTCACAATCCAAGTGTAAACCTGAGACACATGTTCTTAACGAAATTGGGACAAGAGAAAGAGTTTTCTTAGACCTAATATCCTGGGACCATAGCACAACCCCAGGACAACTGAAAGTGCTAGAGAAGCTCTGAGTCATCTGGCCTCCCACGCACCACATTCCTAGCCAAGTCTGAGGGTTTGATTGCATTTCCCAAGAGTGAGTTCACTGACAGTAAAATAGTATTCAAACAATGTCCACTTGAGGGACTTCTTTTTTTAATACTTATTTTTCAATTTTTAATAAATGATCACATCAAACAACATATATTAATTGAGGCTTTACCATTCATCAAGCACCATGGTGTACTCTTGAAATCCATTAGGAAATAAAGTCATCCATAATCCAGTCCACAGAGTTTTAAATGAGTAAAAACCAACGTGCTCAAACAAATGGAGAACTGCAAAATACTGCAGAAGCATATTGCAAGGGGATTTAATTGAGACTTGGAGGTCAATACACTCCCAAAGGAAGCTGCTTTTAAGCTAAGAACTGAGAGTCAAGTTAAAAAATAAAAATAAAGCTAGGTAAAGTAAGATGAAGAAGAGGTTTATTCCAGCAAGGGGCAACAGCACAAGACTATGTGATAAAACAGGAAATAAGAAGAAAATATATGTAACAGGACTTGACTACAGAAAATAATGTGGAAGATAGCATGAAATGAAGTTGCATAAGTGAATGAGGAGTTCTGGTGTGGTGCTATAGGATAAGCACTGGATTGCTAACTGCAAGGCCAACAGTTCAAACACACCAGCAACTCCTGAGAAACACTTTCCATGGTGACTGAGTCAGAACCAACGTGAAGGTACTTAACCACAACAACAACAAGATTAATGAAAGAGACTCATGGAAATCTTAAAGGTTGTTTCAAAGATTTCAAACTTTAACTGCAAAATAATGAGAAGACAGAGCTTTTAGCAAGAGGGTCATGATCAGATGTGAGTTTTTTTTTGTTTTTTGTTTTTGTTGTTGTTGTTTTTTTAAAAAGACTACTTTGGTTGCCATACAGAGAATGAACTGCACTAAAGTAAAAGTGGATATGGGGAATGAATTAAATGTGTGTGATCACCACCTGCTCCTCGGGAACCCTGTACAGGATCACTAGGAGTCACAATCGACTTGACAACACCATTTGTCTTCCGGTAAGAAGACAGAGGCTGAATCAGGGTAGCAGTACTAGGTGGTGGGTGTTGTCAGGTGCCAGCTAACTTATGCAAAACTGAAGGAAAAACTTCTTGGTCCTGAATTGAATCAGCCTCACAATTGGTATGTCTGAGCCCACTGTCTCAATCCATCTCCTTGGAGGTCTCCCCGGTTTTGCGGACCCTCCACTTTACCAAACCTGATGACCTTTGCCAAGGACTGATTGCTACTGACAACATGTCCACTGTATGACAGACAAAGTCTCCCCCTCATTGCTTCTAAGGAGCTCTGTGGCTGTACTTCTTCCAAGACACCTTGATTGCATGTTTGATCAATTTCAGGCTGAAAAATTTGGTAGAATTCTTAAATTTCATTATAATTGACTTTAGTTTTTAGTACTTGAATTTGAATAATAGTGGTATTAACTGGTCTTCCTTGTTGTTGTTGCTAACTGTTGTCAAATCATTTCTGACTCATAGTGACCCTGTATAGGGTTTCTGAGAAGTTACTGGTTGAGCTTGAATCACTTATCTTGTAGTTCAAACCAACTTTGAATTCTAGCACATTAACCCACAGTGCTCTAGTCTTCCTTGTAAATATAAGTATATTGTACTTTTTATTTTTCACTATGAATGTGATACCATTCCTCTTCAATATGTCATTCCTGGCATAATAAAAAATATTAACAGTCTAATTAAAAATGTCCAATATCTGTCCATTTCAGCTCACTAATGCCTGGGATACCCAAATTCAATGTGTTCCACTTCATTTTTGATGACTTCCTATTTTCCTACTTTCCTACTTCATACATTCCATGTTCTGATTATTAGTAGATGTTTGTAGGTATTTCTTCTCATTTTGAGTTGTGCCCCATCAGCAAATGAAGGACCCAAAAGCTTTGCTTCATGCATGTCACTAAGGTCAATTCTACTTTGAGAAGGCAGCTCTCCACCAAGCATATTATGAGCACCTTCCAATCTGAAGGACTCGGCTTTCAGCACTATACCAGACAATGTTCCAATGCTGTTTATAAGATTTTCAGTGGCTAACTATTCAGAACTGGAAAGCCTCTCTTTCTTCCTTGTCTGTCAGAGTCTTGAAGTTCCACTGAAACTTGTCCACTATGGGTATCCCTCCTGGTACTTACAATACCAGTAGGATACCTTAAAGCAGCACAGAAACACATAAACCATCACAGTACAACATTCTAACATGTGACTGGTGGTTGAAATTACTACTGTTGTTGTTGTTTTTTGTTGTTAGGTGCCAGTGAGTGGTACCAACTCATAACGACCTAATGCAGAGCAAAACAAAGCACTGCTCAGATCCTGGGCTAACCTCACTATTATTGCCATGCTTGAGTCCATTGATGCTGCCACTTGGCCAATCCATCTTGCTGTGGGTCTTCCTCTTTTTGTCTGACCCTCCACCCTACCAAACATGATCTCCTTCTCCAGAGATGGGTCCCTCCTGACAATATGTCCAAAGTATGAGAGAAAAAGTTTGGCCATCCTGCCCTCCAAGGAACACTCTGACTGCACTTCTTCCAACACAGATCTTTTGGTTCTTTTGGCAGCCCAAAAGATGGCACTTTCATTATTCTCCTCCAACACCATAATTCAAAAGCATCAATTCTTCTACGGTCTTCCTTATTCACTGCCCAGCTTTTGCATGCATATAAGGTAATTGAAAATGTCATGGCTTTCGTCAGGCATACCTTAGTCCTCAAGCTGACATCTTTGCTCTTCAACACTTTAAAAAGGTCTTGTGGAGCAGATTTGGCTAATGCAATACGCCACTTGATTTCTGGACTGCTGCATCCATGAGTATTGAGAGCTGATCCAAGAAGAATGAAGTCCTTGACAACTTCAATCTTTTCTCTGTTGATAAAAATGTTGTTTATTGGTCCAGTGGTGAGGATTTTTGTTTTCTTTACATTGAGATGCAATCCATACCAGAGGCTGTGCTATTTGATCTTCATCAATAAAAATTTTAAGTCTTCTTCACTTTCAGCAAACAAGGTTGTATGGCAGGTTGTTAATGAATCTTCCTCGAATTCTGATGCCATGTTTTTCTTCATAGAACCCAGCTTCTCGGATTATTTGTTTAGCATACAGGTTGAATAAGTATGGTGAAAGACCTCTCGCAAGTGTGTAAGAGCAAAGATGTCAGAATGAGGATTAAGATGGGCCTGACCCAAGCCACTGTATTTTCAATCACCTCATATGCATGTGAAAGTTGGACAATGAGTAAGGAAGACTGTAGAAGAATTGATGGATTTGAGCTATGGTGTTGGAGTAGAATATTGAAAATGCCATGGACTACTAGAAGAACAAACAAATCTGTGTTGGAAAAAGTACAACTAGCATGTTTTCTTACAAGCCAGGATGATGAGACCTCCTCTCTTAGTTCAGGCATGTTACTAGAGGGACCAGTCACTGGGGAAGGACATCATGCTTAGTAAAGTGGAGGGTCAGTGAAAAAGAGGAAGACCCCCAGCAAGATGGATTGGGATAGTGGCAGCAGTAATGTAACTACAAATGTTAGGATGGCACAGAGCTGGGCAGGGTTTTGCTGTTTTGCACAGAGTTGCTACAATTCAGAACCAACTGGATGGCATACAACAACTCTGATTTCTTATCTGCATACAATAATATCCATTTCTAGATCTGCTGTGAGGATCAAGTGACAAGTATATCACTTTGCCTAAAAATTCTCATGTGTCAAGTATATAATAGGTCATCAGAAAAGTGGGTGTGCTTTTTCTTTCCGTAAGGTACAGAATATATTAATCATATTTCACAGTATTTTCTCAAGACTCACCTTCTGTGAGCTATGGCATCATTTTCATATTCTCGGTTTGGTTCGGTTACCTAGGCCACTTGTAATTTGCAATTAACTTCTATGAGTTTCTTTTTCAAAGTCACATAAAAATAGTAATTTTGCAGAATTTGTGCTTGTTATTTGAGAATACTCTTAAGAATTGGCTTTTTATAAAATTTCATGTTAAAATGAAATTTAAATTATTCAAATTTTTGTGCTTTTCCCCTTGAAACTCTTAATTTGTAAAAGTTTGTTTGAAATCCAGTGTCAAAATTGCTTCATTTCATTTTTTTCTCTATTAGCTCTTTATCCTCTTCACATTTATCCATTCTTTCTTTCAACCATGCACATATTTTTGATGAAATACTGGGTGCTGTACCAAGCCAAACAACTGTCCTCTAGTAGATTCCAACTAATGGCGACCCTATATAGGGTTCCCATAAATCTTTATGGGCGCAGAAAGTCTTATCTTTTCCCAGCTGACTGGCCAACGGTTTTGAACTGTCCACCTTGTGGTCAGCACTCCAGTGCTTACCCTAAAGCACTACCAGGGCTCCTTACTGATTTGATGTTGTTAAGTGCTGAGGAGTTGGTTCTGCCCTATATTGGGTTTCTGAGGATGTAAACCTCTTTGGGAGCAGAAAGTGTCATCTTTTTCTCCTAGAACACTAGTGGGCTCAAACTGCGGACTTTGTAGTTTGATATCCAGTGCTCATCCTATAAGGCCGCTATGCTCCTGGGGCTCCTTACTAAGTTCTATGAAAAAAAAAAAGAATTTAACCAAACCCACTGCCATTTAGCTGATTCTGACTCACAGGAAACTTATCTAGGGTTTCTAAGCTGAAATTATTATGTGAGCAGATAGCCTCATCTTTCTCCTAGGGTTAGCAGTCCAGAGTTCATCTTACAGCACTACTTCGTGACATAGGAAAAAATTATAAACTAAAGAAAATGAAGGGAATTCTGGATAAGGAAGAAAGAGATTATTGAATATATATATGTGTGTGTGTGTGTAATATATTATTGAATTACTGAATATATATGTGTGTGTGTAATATATATTCAAATATATATTCACAATACTATTGCTATATCTATCCATCCATTCAGACCACAAAGGCATTTTGATGATAGGTTTGTGACCAAATCTATATAGAAATTATAAATCTCAGTCTAGCTCATGGAACAGGAAAGGCATAAAAGAGTAAAAGCTGAGATTTAATCCTATCCTATGGATAAGATCCCAACACACAGAGACAGGGAAAGTCTTGTGAAGCCAAAGACAGAGCCTGGACAGTCAGGAGAGAGAGGCAGTATGAGTCAGTATGGACTCAGGAGTCTGACACTTCTGCCTGGGTTTCCATATGTCTTATCTGGGAGGCTCACTTGTGAATTCTCCTTGATAAGTGAAACAGGAAGTCTCTGAGCTTCTGATAAACTTCCCACCATCAGCTCACCCCCATTCACACATCTGATCCATTCCTCACTCTTGGTTGCAGTTCATTCAGGCTCTAGGATTGGTTGTCAGCTTTACTCTAGTTTGTGTGTTTTTTTAGCCTTGACTTTTCAAACTGCCAAGTATAGCTGTCTCTCTCCCCAGGATTCCTTCCCTGACGTGAACACCATCCTACACCCTATACAATGGGAACTGAACCTCACCTCATCCTGCATGCTGTGCCTTGCCTTTCTGGGTCCCCTGCAGTGTTGGCTTCGGTCTCTGCCTCTATCTCATCTGGCCTGCAGCCTTACTCCCACCCAGACCCATTTATCTCCACGTCTTCTTCTATTTCCTTCTAGTCCAAGCTCCTTCTACTCCAGGCTACATTGGTGGTTTTTTTTTTAATCAGTGCAGTGGGGAATTAGAGTGACAGTCATGACAAATGTTATTTTTTGGAAGCAGTCTTGAATTAGGTTGGTATCAAAAGAAATTAAAAGGAAAACAGGTGTGAAAGATTGTCAGAATAAAATTAAATGATTTAGATATTGGGAAGGTAGTAAAAGAACAAGAAACATTAAATGTGAAACTGAGTATTAATTTATTCTTTGACTTAGCAATCTCACTTTTAGGAATTTACCCTGAATATACTACTCTAATAATATGAAAATGCCTATGTACCAGGTAATTCATTGCATCATCAGTAATTTCAACATATTAGAAATTGCCTGTACATCTAAGCATAGGAGATTGACTGAATCAACACTGCTCTAGCCTTACAATTGAACACTACACTTCTGAAAAAAAGCAGAATGATTCTTTTTATGAACAAGTTGAGTACAGTTCAAGAGCTATTGTTGAATACTGAAAACAAAGTCCAGAAGAGTATCTGCACCATGCTGTTGTAGAAAAAAATGTAAAAATAGTAACATATACCAGTATTATCTAGTTTACCAAACATACCACAGACAGGTAAAGCAGAAACCAATAAGAAAGATTACCTACAAGGTGAGAGGGTAACACAATGAAAAACAGCAATACTCTGATGATACTACTTTTGTGTAGTTTTGTCTTTTGGGAACATGTTAATGTTCTATATGTTATAAAATAAAATGAAACCAATGAGAATGAGAGGAAAAGAGAAACTCTAACACTAAGGGCAATCTTAAGCACATAAGCTCAATGGCATTTTGTGTGAACACTAAACAACACTAAAGATGGTGGGAGTCATAGGCAGAAATCCAAGTAAATTATGAACACAGCATTTGACTATAAATATTATATTTTACGGATTCCTAGACTATGCCCTATTTGTTTATAGTCCATTTTTCTTTTAAAAATTACATGGATTTGTTTTGCAAATCAATTCCTCTCTGTCTATTCGGTCTTCCATCCTTCCATCCATTGATCTATCCAAAAACAGATTAAGAAACAAAGCAAAATTACAGTTATATTACTAAAGTAAGTTTGAAAAGAATACATTTTCCAGATGAAAGAAGGTGTGTGTTTTCTTTGGTCTGGTGGACCTTATATCCTACCAGAACGGAAACACTGAAGAACTAGAGAATTGAGGAGGAAATATGTGGCTATGGGAAGTGATCTAACTGCTAGTATTATTTGATAGGATTACTGGCTAATTTACTTACATCTCTTTGGATACAGCTCTGATTTCTGTTAGCAAAGTCCCTTACTGAGGTTAACCTCCATGGAGCAATTTGTTGCAATCAAAGGTTCTGTGGTAAGGTCCAAGCACTGATTGCAGAAGGGCCCTATCATTAATGCAAGTTTCAGGAGGAAATATCTTCACTCATGTAGTCACATTCTCATCTTTCCCATTTGAAGCAATGGCTTACAATCCAGACTCTATACTAGAATCACCTGAAGGGCTTTAAAAATCCACTGAATTACAAGCCTTGTCCAAAAGCAATGGGATTGGGTCTTTGGTGGGTGAGGGCAACTGGGTTGACATTTGATTAATTTCTTCTTGGAATTTGCATGTTCAACCAGAATTAAGAAAAACTATGAGCCTCCTTGTGCTCAAATGTTAAAAAGGAATTTAACTATTTTAATCCTGGTTCTATAGGGTAAGCAAGGTTGGCAGGTCAAACACACAAGCAGGTACTCAGTAACCATTTGTAGGGTTGTTGTGAGTCTGAACCGACTCTATGGCACTTAACAACAAATTATCACTGAAAATGAAACTGATGTTGTTTTGTTTTATATGGTTTTAATAATCAATCTTAGTAGCTTTTCTGTAAATTCCAAAGAAACATTTTAAGTAACTTCTATGAAATATGAAAATAGTTTGGCCAAACAGAAAATCAATTTATTACTATACTCTTCAATGAGTTCCACGTTGAGTGAGTCTGAAACTTCTATCAAACTAAAGAGGCTTTGGTTCTATTTGATGCTAAGGTATTAATGCAAAGATCTTTGATCTGTAACAGAAAATAATTAAGTCAGTTTCTAGAAATCCTTTCTGAAAGATTCACTTCAACATTCACCTTTATGTTTTACAATTGACAAAATGGTGTAGGGTGTTGTTTTCAGTGAAAATTAAGAGTCAAGGAGGCATTAGGAAGAGTTGAAGAGTATAAATTTGTCAGTCTCAGCAAAATGACATTTTCCCAATTGATTTGTCTGAATTTCATTTCTAAAAAAATATATTCAAAAGCAGCCTCAATCAGATGTTCAGCATTTTCCAAGCCAACACATTTCCATTAAAAAGCAGAATCTGAATATTTAACTAAAGAATTTTCATATAAAGAAGGAATTATCTTTTTTCAAAAGTTTCTTTTGTGTTGTAAAGCATATGCATAGGAAAGCATACACCAAGTCAACAGTCTCTACTTGTACCACTTAGTTATAATGATTGCACTGTGCCACCATTCTCTCCCTCCTCTTCTTATCCAATTGTTCGAATTGACCCTTTTGAAATCCTATGGAGATAGTTCTTACAATGGTATAAGGCTTGAGGCAGACCATTTTTACGAGTTAAGCTGAATTACTGTCAATTCTAAGAAGACTTCAGGGAATATTTTTGATTCAAGGTTTAAAGAGTATCTCAGGGCAATGGTTTCCAGTGAACACCTACCATGGCTCCAGAAAATCTGAATTCCCTACAAGTATTTGAAAATCTGTTTTGCATTTCCCCCCTTTCAGTCAGGATTCATCTATGGAATGATGGGCACCATCCAGGTTTGGGTCCCATGGCAAAAGAGGCAGTCGTTCATGAAGACAATTAGGCACACATTCCATATCCTCAAAACGAGAGAGTCTTACCTGCATTCGAGCAGATGTTATCTTGAGAATTCTTGCACATTTGGCTACTTTGTTTCTTGGTCAGGTCACACTTTTTTGGATACTGGCAAGCTTCGCCAGACCATCCTTCATCACATTTACACTTACCGCAGTCACACTTGCCATGACCTGAGAGTTTAACAACATCCAGTTAGGTTTAAATGATCTTTCAAAGGAGACTATTATGACAAGTAAACATTATTCTGGACTCAAATATGATAAATGATCAAATCAAGTATATTACAGTTGGAAAGCCTATATAGGGTCGCTATGGGCTGGAACTGACTTGATGGCACTTCACAACAACAACAACAATGGATGCTACTATATATAATATGATAGAGCATGAACATTGTATTTCAATAATTAGATTTTAACTAATCATTCTAAATAATTAAGTTAATGGAGTTCTGGTGTGGTGCTGTAGGTTAATGTGTTGGACTACAAAAGTCAGTTTGAACCACAAGGTTGGCAGTTCAAGCTCACTAGTTGCTCCTCCAAAACCCTATGCAGGATTGCTACGGGTCAGAACAAATTTGATGTCACTGAACAACAACAACAAACATAAAGGAATTATGGTAACCAACCAAAAATGAGAAACCATAATGACCAGAAATTTTGGCTCTAAGGAAAATGAAATCAATCAGATACTTCAGCATTTGGAATAATAGAAAATTCTGCTCAAATCGGTGGTTCAGACTCAACGACTATTCCTTAGAAACCCTACACAGGGTTGCTATGAGTCGGAACCAACTGATGGCACTTAAGAAGAACAAGGAATAGGCAAATACATTTTTATTAGTTAACCTAAACTATCCTTTGCTTTTAAGAATGCTTCAGGGGATATTTTTGTTTTAAGGTTTAAGGATGCTATCAGGGCCAAAGTTTCAGAAGCTAAATCAGAGTTAGGAATTTTGCATCAACATTCTCTAAGCTAAATGATGGTTTTATATTTATTTGAATTAATTATGTAATGAAATGGTATCTAAGTATAAGACGTAAAAATAAGTATCTACTTAGCTTTGTTTCTAAATGTAAAAATTTTATTCAAGAGGCAAACTAGTAGCAGCCATACCCACCTAGTTCCCTAGACTTTCTCAGTGTATCATATTCTCAAATCAACATTTTGCTTTAGAGGGGTAGGGGAGCTTGCTGGTGGGTTTTCTTTTTCTGTGTGTGTGGTCGTCATTAACTTTAAGAGGGGGCATCAAAAAGTTCGTGGAGAAAAATTCATTGTCTTTCAATCCAATTTTCCCATGAACTTTCTGAAGCTCCCTTTGTGTTAATTCCTACCCGATGAAGCCAATTAATGTTTTGTTGTTAATCTCATAAAAGTTAAAAGAACATATAATACACCACCCTGGTGCTCAAAGAGTTTATAATTTAAAAGTAAATATGGAAACAAGGAGGTGTTTCCATCTTTAGCCAGAAATGCTTATTGAAGCTTATGTGAATTTGGTAATGTAGTCTATAACTGGAGTACTGGGGTAGTGTTGTGGGTTAATGCGCCAGACTGCAAAGCCGTTTGAACTGCAAGGTCAGTTGTTCAAACTCACCAGCTGCTCCTTGGAAACCCTATATAGGGTCGCTATGAGTCAGAACTGACTCCACGGCGCATAACAACAACTACATGCGTTGGAATTGACTCGACGGCACTTAACAACAGTCTATAATTTATAGAAATAAGACAGGAGAGAGTAATAGCACCAAAGTAGTCAAGGCAGACTTTTTAGTCTACCTTCATTTAAATGGGGTTGCACTGTGGGTTAACACAATGGACCACAAGGTCAGCGGTTCAAACTCACTAGCGGCTCCTTGGAAACCCTAAACAGGGTCCCTATGAGTTGGAAGACTCCAAAGTGACTTAACAACAACAAACAATCTTTAACTGGGCTGTGAAACTTCAGCAAAGTTTGAATGAGTTGCATATAGACTAATGGTTCTTAGGGAGAAGAGCGGGGAGCGGGACCCTACCCACAGAAGCAGTGGCGCCAGAGATGGAGGTAGAGACAATGACGTGAAGAGATGGAGTGGCTGGGGACTCTAGAGGGAGAATGGCTGTGTGCTGACGACCTGGGGTGGTGGGGGAGGGAGATGCAGGCTTACAGGGTATACCCTTTGGTTGGTTGATGATGCATGGGGCGGGGGCGGAATTGTAACCACGGCAATGAAATGATAGGATGAATATAAAGCTAATGTTGTCCCATATAAACTATCACATAATTCACAATAAAACATAAAAAAAAAAGGACTAATGGTTCTTAATGACTCAAGATTATAATACTATATCTCAATGTCTGAAATATATCGACCACAATGAAATGGAATCATTGATTCGTCCAACATGTTAAGAGTTATTCAATATGGCAGCCAAATGACACATGGAATGTTCGAGATGGTGGTTAGAATGACTAGGAGGCTGTCTATTTGTGCATCTTTGGCAGTGAGTGAGTCTGACTGGCTGTTATATATTTTAATTCCTTTCATGTAGCTGCAATGCAACTTCTGTTGCATTGTCAGATTAACCATTCTGTTCTATAAACAAAGACTTGCATTTTGCTGTAACTGAAATTCATTTTATTCAGTGAAAGCTGTTCTCTCAAATTGATATTTTGTATTCTAACCCTATTGGTAGTCTTGGCCAATTTAGCATCATTCACAAGCATAAATGATCTCTTCCATCAATCATCCAGTTTACTCATAGAAATATGAGTCCACATTCTTGAAATATGTAAGCCTGTTTAAGTAAATTCAGTATCTTGGAAATGATATCATCTTTAACATTATCATGGCTCAACCCAATATAAAGGCTTCAAAAATTTTTTTTAAGTAGAGAGGAATTTTAAAAATAAAGAAATATGGTGGTAATATTTGCTGAATCTAGAATAAAAGACTACTCAATGTTTTACGTTGGATTAGATATCACAGATGCTAAACTAAGGTTAACTGGAAAAAGTTAGTTTTCATTTGAGGAACAAGGGTTACAGATTTGTTTACAATGAGAGGGGTTAAGAAAACGGGGAAATAAGAAAAATGTACAGATGGATAGGGAAAGGTCAATCCATGCAAACTTACCCAATGACGCATCAATAGAAGCAATATTCTAAGTTACCTATTACCCAGAGTGAGTCCTAGAGTCTTAATTTCATGAAACTCACTCTGCAAAAATGACTGTATAAGAGGCCTGCTACAGTCTTCCGTTGGTAAGTCGCCATGTCGAACAATGCACCTAAACCCTCAGGTGTTCTGTGATGAAGAGAGCTACTTAACTTTATTTAGCCCAGGAGTATGCAATTTTCATAAACAAAGACAGCTGCAGATCATTTGTTTTCAGTTTTTTGCCTTAGAGTAACTTGAAGAAAATAATAGTTAATGTAGGATGTTGGTCACCAGCCTTTATTTCTCTAAATTTAATACTAGTAAAGTCATCCTAAAACAACTTTCCCCATCTAGAAAAGGGAGCTATTATAGTTAGCTGCCTTTGAGTTATCTCCAATTCATAGCAACACCATGTGTTCCTGTGTAGAACTGCCCCACAGGATTTTCTTGCCTGTGACCTTAACCAAAGCAGATGGCTAGGCTAATCTTTTGTGGTTACTGCTGGGTGGGTTTGAACCTTCAGCCTCTAGGTTAACAGGGAATCACAAACTGCTTTCACCTCCCAGGCTCCTAGGGAAGACTGTCAAGATGTCTCTGGCACCATATATTTACACAAATACCAAGTACTCGCTTTTTATCTGTCTCTGTCAACTATAACCTCCTCCTGTAAAGTAATTTTGTAAGAATTATGCTAATTTTTCATGTCACTACTTAAAAAAAAGTGCATCACACACCTTTGAAAATACCTGGGGAGTGAAGGAAGCAGTGGTAGAAAAAGAAAAACAGAAAAATGTAGAAGGCTTGTGTTATCTGAGGAAAAATCTGCCTATGAATAATACTTGAGAGATAAGCGTATCTGAGAGCACCATTGGGTTGGCGCTGTTCCAAACCAAAGCAATAATGGGAATATTGCCATAAAGTGAGGCACATGGATGTTTTGGTTTCCCAGTGCATATATGTTATGTTTGCACTATAGCATAGTCTATGCTTTCTTTGTAAAATAGCATTATGAAAATGTTTGAAATATTGTGATAATTACCAAAATGTGGCCCAGAGACACGAAGTGAGCATAGGCTATTGGAAAAAATGACACCAAGAGCTTATTTGACTGAGAGTTGCCACAAACCTTCAATTTGTATCTATAAATCGGTATTGCTAAATAAGGTGCATCTGTCTACTCATGGCAGACAAGTTTCAGTGGAACTTTCAGACTAAATCAAATTAGGACGAAGGAGAGGCAGATCAGTTCTGAACAGTTAGCCAATGAAAACTTTATGAGTTCCAGCAGAACATTGTCTGATATAATGCCAGAAGGCCACCCACTCAGCTTGGAATGTAATAAAAATAACACTGAGAAGAGCTGCCTCCTCAAAGTAGAGGTGACCTTAATGATGTGGAGTAAGGTTTGGGGATCTTCATTTGCTGATATGCTCTCAAAATGAGAGCAAGCAGATGCAAACATCCATTCGTAATTGGAATGTGGAGTGTATGAGGTATGAATCTAGGAAACTGGAAGTTGTCAAAAATGGAAATGGAATACATAATGATAGATACTGTATGTATTAGTGAACTGAAATGGACTGGTATTGGTCATTCTGAATCAGATAAACATATCATTTATTATGCTGGGAATGGCAAATTGAAGAAAAATGGCATGACATTTATATCATCAAAAAGAACATTTCAATATCTACCTTGAAGAGCAGTGTTGTCTGTGATAGGACAATATCTAAGAAAGACCAGTTAATACCACTAGTCTTCAAATTTATGCACCAACCACTAAAGCCAGTGATGATGAAATTGAAGTATTCTGCCAAATTGATCAAACATGCAATCAAAATGCATTGATAATTACTGGCGATTGGAATTCAAAAGTTGGAAATGAAGTGGAAAAATCCATCATTGGAAAATATCGCCTTGGTGATAGAAATGATGCAGGGGATCACAGGATAGAATTTTGCAAGACCAACAGCTTATTTATTGCAAATACCTTTTTAAACAACACAAAAGGGAAGTATACACCTGGATCC